TGGCAATAATTCAGCATTACCACCAATGAAGTTTATGGATAAAGATGATTCCTTAATAATTAGTTGTGAAACAAATGATCCAGATGCAAAAGTAAATTTATGGCGTAAGAAATCTGGATCTAGTCCAGCTGTTTCAGCGCAAGAATTTTTTAAGGACCGTCTCTCAGAGAAGAATCAGACATTCATTATTAAATATTTAACTGTTACTGATAGTGGAATTTACTATTGCAAAGCATCTAATGATCAAACTCAAAATCTTGAATTAAAACTTGGAGACTTGGTTGTGTCCAATTGTAAGTATTTTTTAATTAAGAAGTTTTTTATAATTTAACATTAAGTAACAACTACAACAAAGTACATCATTAACTGCGAAAAATAATCAAAACATGTTTTTAGAAATAATATTATATACAAGTTATAATCAAAATTAAAGTTAGTTATTTATAATAAGTTGCAATGTGAGCTTATCGTCTCACATTGCAACTTATTATAAATAAGTAAGCCACTGTAGCAACTATGCTGGAGTTTGTCCAGCTGATTCTTGAAGCATTGACTGTTTCTGCATTTATATTATTGTCGTATAGCTAGTTTTAACAGTTCATGATTCTGTTAGTGAAAAAATTTCTTCGCAGTATTATTGTATTATTAGTATTTACTATTATTGTATCATACTTGCTCAATTTTTCAATGCTGTACTAAAACAAATGAACATGAAAAGTCAAGAAATACGATATATATAGTGATGTTTTCTTAGCCATTGTTTTAGTGACTCAATTCATAGTTTCTAAAAGGTCATACATTTTACTATTAATTTATACTATTAATCTTTCTATTTTCTTCAAAAAAGGCTTTGAACAAATCAGTCACGTTGTTGCTTGAATTAAGCTTTTGAGATACTGCTTGTGGGCAACTGGAGTTACTTTTGGCAGTAGTATCACCATCAGGAATCCTTATACTTCCAAGTACCAAGCTTCTTATTTGACATTTTCAGTCCTAAAAATTTATTACTTAAGGATTTTCAACTTATTATAGTACCACACAAACAATATGAGGTAACAAAAGCCACCTTTATGATAGGGCTTTAGTTACTTCATAATGTAAAAAAACCATCACAACAAAAGAATCAAGTTATAGGTTATAACCTTTAAAGGTGTGATAAAACATAAGTTAAGGTTATGTTTGTTGAGAGTTGTGAGAATTAAAGATTAAAACAACTTGTTCAGAGTAGAAGTTATGCAAGGTAACTTTTTTATTGATATTTCAGGATAACTATATAGTTTTACTGTACACTTACCTTGTATTTGGAAAAGGCTTCTAAGTTCCTGTTAGAAGAATACAAAATCAGCTATTAATTCCAAAAATTTTGTCGCTATTACTATCCAAAAATTACCTGCTATAATGGCATTAGTTTCCCTGCAGGCTTTAGTTACCCCTATCTATGGGATTTTGTTGTCCAATGCTAGAATCGAATTTGTTGAAGTGTTCTAAAACCGAATTGCTAAAAAAATTCTTATAATCCATAAAAGAACTTTTTTTATATAATGTAGAGCATTTTAGAATAATATTTTCATAGATAATATTTTCATTTAATTAACAAATTTGTTTTTAGAATATTCGGTTTTCAAAAATTTAGTTCTAGAAGATTCATTTGTAGATGGAGATTCTATATTATTTGACTGAAACAAGTCGAATAATATAGAATCTCCTTTTTTAATAATTTAATTTTAAAAATTTGATTGTAAATGATTCTATCAAAACAAGGAATTGTAATATTTTATTCTAAATGGTTTGGATCAATAAAAAAACGATTGTCTCATTTTATTCTATTTTTATTTGGTTACAGCATGTGACACACGTCAAATTCTGAGTAAAACAGTTTTGAGAAATGTTAACAAATTCGAATTTGAATTTAATCTTAGTAGCTTTTAGTAGCTTGTAGATTTTCCTGCCATTTGCAAAATCATTGCAATGAATAAATTATTTTTAAATAAGTTTAAAATTATCTATTGTGCTTTTGTAAATTTTTTCCCCATTAATCAAGGACTCAGACGAAACATTTATTTGAACATACATTTTTAGTAAAAACTTTATTTTATGTAACATTAGTAATTGTTATAGTAGCATTTCACAAAACATTTTCTTATAGTATTTCGTTTCTTAATACTTTATAAAAATTGTTTTAAGATTAAAAAAAATTCAAAATTAAATTACTTGAATGTTATGAAACTTCCTTTTTTAATTGAATAAAAATCTGTGTGCCCAAGAGTTATTTAAAACTATTAACATCAGCTGGTAATGTGAATGTTAGTTATTTGTCTTTCCCTTTAAAAAATGTATTCATTTTCTTCAAAGTCATTTTATTTTCTTTAAAGTTTCTTTATTTTCTTTGAAGTTATTGGAATACAAATAGGTTATTTTTCAACTTTTAAGTTATTTTTTCATATATAAAATTCAGTCACGAAGAACTATTTCAAGATAAAAATTTAAACATAGAAAATATTAAAAATTTTGACTGTCTAAAAAAAGCAATTTCATATGCTAACTGGTCGAATTGACCGCTCGCCTTAGATTTCTTATTTTCCATGCTGATATATATATATATATATATATATATATATATATATATATATATATATATATATATATATGTATGTATATATATACATATATTAGGTTAATTTATAAATAAATTGTTTTTTTTTTATTCATTTATATATTGAGATATGAAAAAAGTTAAAACTAATTTAAAATATATGTTATTTTATATGACTTGCGGCTATCTTATTTTTTTTAGCATATCCTCTTCTCATAAATTTTTACCAGGTTTGACTAAAAAAATTTAAAGACGGCCTCATTTTCCTTCTGTTTTTAAAATAAATATTTTTCTTATCATAAAATTATGTAAAGAACAGAAAAGGTTTTAATTAGTTGAAGCAAGGTCTGAAGAGCTAACTAACTCTAACCCTGACCCTAACCCTAACCCTATTGGCAAAACAGACCAGCCAAGTTCCAAAAACTTTTTTTCGAGTCACCCTTCTTTATGTGGTCTCGCATTATCATGCAACAAAATGACTTTCTTATGGTTGACAAGTGCAGGGCACTTTTCCAACTGTTTTTCTAGGACTCTTTGAAACTGCTAAACATACATGTTTCCAGTCACCATGTCATTCCTATTAAACAGTTCAGAATTAACCCTTGTCAATCACACCATAGACACAACAAAATTTTCTTGTCGTAGATGTTTACTTTAAGATCTGGAAGAGAAAGTTGATCTTTTTCCAGAAAGAAGAAGCTTCTTTACAAAGAACCAAATAAATCTTCGTAAAAAGAAAAAATAATAATACAATAATACAATAAATAAAATAAAACAAAATAAACTTAACTAAAACTAAAATAGCAAAAATAAAATTAAAACTTAACTAACAAAAACAAAAGTAAAAATAATTAAATCGTTTATTTAAAAAATTGAAATGATTTTTTTCTACTTAAAAACATTTGTAATAAAAAATAAATACTTATATTAATGTAAAAAAATATATATTATTCATTAATGTTTTTATAAAAAATCATTAGCAGTGATTTGTGACTTTATTTAAAAGTGTTTCAATTATATAAAAACATAAGTAAAGATCAAATTCAAACTGCTTTTTTTTTCTTCTTCTCAACAAAAACTTTTATGATTCTAATATAAAGTTTATTAAATTTATTTTACTTATAAAATAATTTTATATAATTAAATAATATAAATAAAATATTATACAACTTTCCATGATACTCTAATTAAAATCATTAGCTACTTTATTTAAAAGCGTTTTGCTAATATAAAAGCATAAGTAAAGATATCTAACTTCCAGACATGGAGCAAACTCTAAACATTTATATGTTTGTACTTATGTCAAATAAGGGTGCTTTGTAAAAAATTGCAATGATTAGAGCCTGGGAACAAAAAAGCCCTAAAATTTTACCCCCTCCCTCCTGCTCCAAATGTGAGAGCAACAAGTTGATGAAATATTTTTTGTACTATTTTTAACTAGACTTATATTCATTGAGAATTTTTAAGTTTCATAGTATAATTTCTCAGCGTTTTAAAATTATGACCATATAAAATTTGCAATACCCTCAAATTGAGGGGGGTTTAAACTTTATATGGTCATTTTTTTTGAACGCTAAAATATTTTACTATGAAATTTAAAATTTATAGATGAATATAAGTCTAGTTAAAAATAGTTCACCTATTTTAAAATAAAGCACATGGGCTGCAAAATAAATCTTGCTGCGCAACCTAGATGCTATTCTAGGGCTATTCTAGAAAAAAGTTTGGGTGGCAGTACCATCCCCCTGTCTCGGAAAAATTTAGCGTAAATATTGCCAAAAATCTGTGTTTTTTGCCATTAAAAAAAAAGTCCTCAATTTTTTAATTTGGTGCCCAAGTTAACGCCTAAATACGGTCAACGCTGTTGAAAACAGTCTAGAATAGCCCCTAACAACAGAATAGCATGCCTAATTAATATTCACTCATCCATTTGTTCTAATATTTTTTGGCAAGTCTGTTGGTATATCATGTTTTGTGATATATTGAATTTTTATTTCAGGTGACTGAAAAATTTTTTATCCTCAACTTTAAGTGATACTACATTATTTCATTCAATGTCCTCATTGCAATTTACTTTATGCAAAGTCAATGCAGACTGGTTTAACTTGCCTTCAGTCAAAAATTTTTGGTATTGTTGAACCCTTGTTCGTATTTGAAGTTTTGTTTCATCGACTTAATTAAATAGGTTCATGGGGTACTGTTGCGTGGTAATTTTGATTTATTTTTAGACATTAATTGCGTTTTTAAGTTGGCATTTGATTTAAAAACAGTTTTGTAACCAGCTTTTCTGAATATTCTTCTAAGTCTGGGAAATATTGTTATATTAATTATAATAATTTGTAATATTAATTATTATCTGGGAGATATGATATTAATTAAAAAGTTCAAAATACTTCAAAGTGAATTCAATTACAACAAAAATAATAAGAAATCAACAAAATACACTAAAAACGCAATTTTAAATTTTTGTGATACCAAGATACCTGAAAATCAAATTGATCTTTTGAATCTTGAATTTTGAATTTTGAATCAAAGTCCACACTTTGTACCTTTCTTGAGATCTATACCTTACATAGATATTATTACAACAACTGAATTGTCTGACTTAAAACTCGAATTTAATAAAGAAATTGAAAAAGCGCAAATCGTAAGGAAAAGTGTACTGAGAGAACTTAAAATAGGCAAAAAAAATTAATCGTAATCTAACAAGAGATCAAAGAAAAGCATTTAAAGAAATTATTCAAGACAAGAAAATTAATATTTATCCGTTTGATAATGGAATAAGATTCGTAAGAATAGAACATGATAAAGCAATTGAAAAAATTAGAGAACAGATTGGTCCAACAAAAATTATTAGTATTGATCCCACTCTAAGTTATGCAGCTAAAATAAAGTTTTTTCTTTCAAAATTTAACAAAAAGCAACGTTTTTCTAATAATGAATATGAAAGCATATAACTGAGTGATCCTGTCCCTCCACATTTGTATGGGCTAATTAAAGCTCATAAACAAGAAAAATCTTATCAGATGAGAGTCATTGTATCAACTATTGGCATACCTTGTTATAAAATTTTGAGTTAATTGGTTAAAAGAATACAACTGGTTTTAAATGAAAATCCTATTAGGTTAAAAAATTCAAAAGACTTTATTAACAAAACTAAGCTGTGGTTAATTGACAAGGATGAAATACAGGTATCCTTTGATATTGTGAGCTTATAACCATCAATACCATTAAAATAAGCACAACAACTAAACAAAATAAACTAATTGAACTTTGTTTGCTTCGTTGTTATTTCTTGTGGAACAGTGAGATTCATGAGTTGGAGAATTCAGGCCCAATTGGATTGTCTTATATGGTTGTTTTGGCTGAATCTTTTTTACAACACCATGAGGAAAAGGCAATAAAAATGGTAACGACAATGATTCCTTCAATTGATATTAAATCCATTCATAGATATGTAGACAATAGTTACGCTAGGTTTTCTAAAAGCAAGCGGAACAGTTCCAAACAACGGGAAGCGGGTGCGATCGCACTTGATATTTGACCACGAAAATAATATTTAGTTGCAAAACACCAGCCAGATTTTTTAATCATTTTGAGAACATTAAAGTTTATGTATGTTTCCTTGTTTGTCCGCAAAATAATTAAGTTCATTATTTTATCAGAAATTTTAAAATATTTTGTTTTACGGACTTACATACATAAACTCAAATGTTCTTAAACATCTTTGTGCGGAAAAATAAAAAAAAAATATTTGCAAAAACAAAAACCCGCCAAATCTATGAACAACTAATTCTATTGGTTCAAAAAATACTAGCCGCTATTTCTAGAGTATTCAAAAAATACCGAATGTATGTAATTTTATGTTTGTGTATTTATTCAAATGTAATCTTTTAAAGTAATTTATGCGATTGATTTTGTAAACAAAAATACTTTCAATAATAACTGCGTTTTTAATGAAATTATTTATAATCATCAAAGTTTTTTTCCTTTATTTTTTTTCATTTTTTTGTTAGTTTCTGTCATTTTTTCATTTTTTTCTTGAATTTTTTACACTTTAAAGTTTTTTTATAAAAAAAATACTTAGAATTGCTGTTTTTGATATTTTTAAGTTGTTTTAGACATGTTACTTAGTTTTTTATTTAATTTTCAAAACTATTTTATAATAACAGTTACAATATTTTATATCCACACTTTAATTTTAATTATCCATTTGTATTGCTAAATTGGTGTTATTAAACACCAATTTAGCAAAACAAAAACTCTATTGGGGGAGAAAAAGTTATACAATTAGAGTTCTCTATAAATGAAAAAATTTCTGCTGCAGAAGCCATGTGGCCTTTTAAAGTGGCAAATAATGATCCTGCCTTAAGACATTGTGACAACACACCAATATTGTTCCAAAGACTGTTTCCAGATAGTAAAATAAGTCAAGGTTTTACTATGAGTTGGCAAAAAGCTTCATATATTTTGCAAGATAGCCTTGGGCCGTTGTTGGAAAAGCGTTTATGTAATAGTATCATGTTAAGTCAAGGTGCATTCACTTTAATGTTTGATGAAACAACTACTTCACAACAAAGAAAACAAATGGATCTTTTATGTTGCTTTTGGTCAGAAGACGAAAACCAAGTTGTCACAAAATACTTAACATCGCTGTTCTTTGGCAGAGCAACAGCAGAAGATGTCAAAACAATGCTAGCAGATTTACGTCATAATGAAAGGTTTTATTTACCATGGGATCGTCTTTTTAATATTTCAGCAGATGGTCCTAATATTAACAAAGCCATTTGGAGATTGTTAAATGCTGATCTTCATAGTAATGGTTTTAATGGCTTGTTACCATTTGTAAGTTGCACTTTGCACACAGTGCATAATGCTTTTCAAAAAGCAATTAATGTTGTCGGTGAGGATGCTGAGCAGCTTGCATTTGCTTTACATACCTGGTTCAAGGTAATGATTTGAGTAATTTTATACAGTAGAATCCCATTAATTCGGACCCTGGATAAGTTGGATTTGTACTAAGTCGGACAGATTTTCAATTCCCCTTGAGGTTTCTATACATACAAAAAGCTTAGCTTATTTGGACATTCGCTGGAAGTCGGACTATTTATCTATTCCCTGTAAGAGTCTAACTTAACGGGATTTTACTGCAGTTAATCCTAAAAGAGAATTTTTTATTTTACCTATGAAGTTATTTTTCTTACATTATTATTATTTTTTATTCTAATAGTCTATTATACGACTAGCTAATAAAGTGTAGTGTCTCTATATAATTTTTTTTTTCTGTTTTAGAATGCACCCTGTAAAATAGAAGATTTTAAACAATTATCAGATTGCATTTTTATTGACGATGAAACATTGTTTCTTCGTTTTATCAATACTAGATAATATAATATTAATACTTACTCTTTCTTCTTCACTTATAAAGGTTCTATTAAGGTGGTAAGACACCAAGAAATGTTTTTTGGAATATGTTCCAAAACAAAAGGAGTATAAAAGACACTGACAAACAACAAGCGTTATATTTGTTTTCAAAGAAGTCTTAAGGAAACTGAAAATGTAATTAAAGTTATTCTTATTATTTTTTCTGAATTATTACATATAATAGAGAATTGATTATTTTAGGAGTTACTTGTGTCCATCAAATTCCTTATTGGTTTAGCTCCCTTGTTTGAGAAATACTTGACAAAATTTCAAGATGAAGGACCACTTGTTCATATTTTATTTTATAAAGTGAAAAATCTTTTAATATCTTTAATGAAACATTTTCTTTAGCCAACTGCAGTTAATGGAAAGTTTACCAAAGATCTTTTAAAAACTGATTCTTCCGATTCAACTATCCACCTTGATTTGAATAAAATGGACTTTGGCGAGGAAGCTAAAAACCAGGTAATTTTTGATAGGTACACACTTGCTACATTTACCAGTTGCACATTAGCTACCTGGTAAATGTGTACTTGGTAAATATGTATAAGTAAGTGTACTAGGCAATATAAACTATTTTGTTTATTGTAATAATCATTAGATATTATATTATTGAAAATTAAGTTTTTTTATTCATTTTCATTGATGTAGGTTTTCAATATAAATATGTTTTAGGTGAACAAAATATCATGTGAAAAAAAAAGATGTCTGCTTACAGTAAATAAGAGATATATCTGTAATGGATATATATCTGTTGTAAAACACTTGCAAAAAAAACTTTCACTTGATTCGCAGATATTAAAAGATATGACTTGTTTGGGTGCTCAAATGAGATCAGAACTTTGGACTGTTAATGCAATTGGGAAAATAGCAGTTTTGATGCCACATGTAATTACGGAAAGGGCGGTGAATATTTAAATAAATTTATATTAAATAATTGTAATATATATATATATATATATATATATATATATATATATATATATATATATATATAATCATAATTTCTGATTTGTAAATTAAACTAATAATAAGTAAATTTTGAACATTTTAAATAATATAAGTATATATATTGTTAACATAATCTACTATATAATTAAAATAGCAGAGTACGTTAACCATATAAATATATTATTTAACATTTTCAAAATTTACTAATTATTAGTTTAATTTACAAATCAGAAATTGTTGTTTGTAAATTATTAGTTAACGAACTATTTTGATTTTAATATAATTAAATTTTCCTTTAATTTTAAATGTTAACACTTTCTCCATAACAATTTTATCTTAATTTTTGTACAGGTATCATTTGTGAAAGATGAATTGAAATTATACCAAGCAGCTAATATATCAAAAGACTGGTATATAGATTCTGATACAAAAAAACTAAAAAGAGTAGACCATTATTGGGCTAAAGTTTTTGAAAGTAACAATGAATATGGAAAAACAAAGAATGGGTATCTCAGTAAAGTTGTTAAGAGCTGTTTAACAATTCAGAATGGAAATGCCAGTGCTGAGCAAAGTTTATCTGATAACAAAAATACATTGACTCCTGGGAGAGTAAATCTAAATGATGAATTATTAATGGCTTTGAGAATATCAAAAGAATATGCAAGAAGTTGCAAAGGAGCATATAATGTTGATGCACTCTCCAAAGACGTTGTTCAAGCTGTTCAAAATGCTCATAAAATATATAAAAAAAGAAAAGCTGAAGAAGATGAAGAAAAAAGAAAAAATTATATTCATGAGCAAGAACTAATGAATAAAGAAAAAAAACCAGAAAGAAATGCTTGAAAAAGTTGAAAATCAAAATAAAAATTTAGATCAACAGAAAAAAAGTCTAAAGAATGATGAAAAAAATGCAGATTTTTAGTTTCAGCTTGCTCAGAGAATGCTCGATGAAGCAGCTATGCAAAGTGTATGCAATCTATGCAAATATAATAATCTATGCAAAGTGCCATTATTAAGGAAGACATGATGGGTATAAAAATTGCCCATGAAATGATAAATAGCGCAAAAAGAAGTCTTGAAAAATCTCATAGAAATGAACAGAAAAAGTTGAGAGAAAATATTGGTTTAAAACGTAAAAGTGAAATGGATAGAATAATTAAGCGTTGCAAAAAATTAAAGTAGTCGTTAAAAGTTTGAAAGTTTTTGTAAATATAATAGAGCTTAAACTGTTGGTTCAGTTATAATTAGTTAGCAAAATTTATTTATTTATGTTAATTATTTTAGACTTTAGAAAAACGTTTTATTGCGTGTTAAGCAACAAAAAGATGTTGAGATTTTCATTTTTAAAAGAAATTAGTGATGGCGGATGATTTTGTTTGTTATTTTGTTTGTTATTTTCAAAATAAAATTATTGAACTTTTCATTTTTATAATAAAATCAGTCATTTTTTTTCATTTTTTGTCATTTTTATTCTCAAAATACCGCCATTTTTTTCGAAAGTTGCTGCTTAACAGCCTGTATTTTGCAGCACCTAACATTGTGAGTCTTGGGGCTATAGCCCTTCTACCCCCCCCCCCACCTTCTTAATCTAGCGCTGGAAATAAGACATAAGTATATAAATAAAAATTATATATACTCTTCGATAAATCGAAGAACATTTGTTTCCTTATTAAACAATCATTAATAGTAAGTTGTTCCTTTATATAAAAAATGTCGCTTAATTTTATTAAAAAAAAATTGTAAAAGAGCGACGTTTCAAAAATATTTGCTCTAATCGTATTTATTTTGCTTGAAGTTATTTCCCATTAAAAGCTTTTAACTGTCTCTCATCGGTCCAGTTAATCTTATTGCGCTTTTTTGTTTGTTTTTGATATGTTCTCAAAACAACTAAAAAATCTGGCTGGTTTTACCCAACTAAATATTATTTCCGTGGTCAATTATCAAGTGCGATTGCACCCGCCTCCCGACCAAGCCTGCAGAACATACTCAATATGCAGTGAAAACCATTTAAAAGATGAGATAAATTTTTTAATTCAAGTATTACTGAAAATGGATACAATGAAAAAATGCTTAAAGATATTTCTTATCAGGTTCAAAAAAAACTTTTAGCGAACAAAAATGAAATTCTATCAAACTCTAATAAACTTTCGACAATCTCTTTACCATAAATACCGATTTTATCTCCCAGACTTGGAAGAATATTCAGAAAAGCTGGTTACAGAACTGTTTTTAAATCAAATGCCAACCTATAAACGCGATTAATGTCTAAAAATAAATCAAAATTACCACGCAACAGCACCCCAGGAACCTATTTATTATTTAAGTACATATGCTCCAAAGTGTATGTCACTATAATCCGGCAAAAATTTCAAATAAATTATTTAGTATTGAGAGAATTTGTATTATCTGATGTTTTAAATTAGTTTATATATATATATATATATATATATATATATATATATATATATATATATATATATATATATATATATATATATATATATATATATATATATATATATATATATATATATATATGTATGTATGTATGTATATATATATTATATATATATATATATGTGTGTATGTATGTATGTATGTATATATATATATTATATATATATATATATATATATATATATATATATATATATATATATATATATATATATATATATATATGTATGTATATATATATATATATCTACTATAGCATATTTATATGCGCAATTGCTCACTTTTTTCGCTAGCCTTAATTAAGTGAGCGTTTTTAGAAAACGATGAGGAAAAACGAAGAATAATTAATGAAAATGTTACTGACCCATACCAAACCCTCAATCGATGTAGCAGCACTCCACTGCGAGTCAGGCTATTTGTCAGTCGATGTATGTACTGAAGCCCTCGGCAGCAGGGTTGGCAAAAAAACCCAACTCAAAAAAACCCAACCCAAAAAAACCCAAAAAAACCCACCTTAAAAAAACCCAAAAAAACCCAAAATATATTTGGGTTTTTTTAAAAATGTCCTATTTTACAACTGATAACTTTGATTTTAACACTTATAAATGCTTTATTATCAGCAAGTGCAACCTTTATACTGTAATTACTCTTGTAAACACTGTATTTATATACATAATGGTATTTAGAATATACCCAAAACCGATCTGTTTTTGTAGCAAGTTGGTTATTTATTATTTTTTTTAAACATTTAGCAAGTTATTATAAATGTTATTGAAATATGTATTAAAACATTAAATTAGTTAAATACTTATAAAGGAAATAAAAATCATTCTATTAACTAAATTTCAAGACATTACTAGTTATTTAGTATCTTTATTCTCCTCTCGAATATCTATATTCCTTTATATTGGTATTTGCTCTTTTATTTTTTAAAGCTTATGTTGTAAACTGCAAATTTCAGTAGAAAGCCACAAGCAAAATACTATATATAAAAATTATTAAACTTTATTTACAGTTTAGAAATGGAAAGTTGTCAGGCAAAAAAAAAATGTTACAGTTTACTAGATTTGTCCTTAAGTACATACAACTTTAAAACTTAAAAAAATTAAGTTATGTGCAAGCAAGTTTGCAACATGTTTGCTCATTTAATGAGAGAACATGTTGAAAACTTGTATGCATTTCACAAAGACAAGACTTGTTGGTAAAAATGACAATCGTGCTCATCTGTCTTTTGATAGGTTTTGAATATTTTGCATCAGCTACAAGTTTACAACATGTACCACCAACAAGGGTGACTATGAACAGCGGGTTGAAAATTAACATCAGTATCAAGTTGCTAAAAGGTGAAGAAACACACACAATAGAGCTGTATAATGTGTTACTTTGATTCAGTTTGCAATTTGCATTGCAAAACTGAGCCTGTAAAACATCTTCAAGGAAAAAAAAAAAACTTGGTGGCAAAGACACTGTAATGGTTCTTAACAAATTTATTTTAGATATTTTAAGAACAACTAAAGTTTAGGCAAAAATCCATTTTTTGCCAGTCCAGTTGATCATGTGGATAACTTTTTCAGGAAGCTGGACAGTATAATGTTCTGATAAAAAAAAATGTAGTGATTAGGCTAGCAGTTTTCTTCTATGATACAAAAATGTTTAAAAAGTGTTCATAGTCAACTTGATTCATGATAACTTATAAGGTTGCAACATTAGCTGTGGTCATTGCTCCAATGACCACTTCAGTCAAGGGAGCAACTCATTTTTTAAAAATATTATGTCTCAAACCTTAACATTACCATTTTTACTAACAAACAAGTGGTCATTGCTCCAATGACCACTTCAGTCAAGGGAGCAACTCATTTTTAAAAAATATTTTGTCTCAAACCTTAACATTACCATTTTTACTAACAAACAACATTAACAACTAAAATTTTTAAAAAAAGGCGCACAGCGCCTTTTTTTAAAAATTTTATTGGAGCAATAGGAAGGTGAATTTATGAAATTAAAAAAAAAATTATTGTTCTCATACAATTATAAAAATTTGGTATTTTGATCAGTTTTTAAAAAAACCCATAAAACCCAAAAAAAACCCAATAAAACCCAAAAAAACCCATTTGGGTTGGCTTTTTTTAAAAAACCCTGGGTTTTTTCCAACCCTGCCCGGCAGCAGGCTATTTGACGTTATGTGAGTATGACATCATCATGCTCACCTAACTCAGCAGTATAAGATATATATGTATATATATGTATATATATATATATATATATATATATATATATATATATATTATATATATATATATATATATATATATATATATATATATATATATATATATATATATATATATATATATATATATATATGTATGTATATATATGTGTATATATATATATATATATATATATATGTATATATATATATATATACATGTATGTATGTATATATATATATATGTATATATATATACATACATATATGTACGTATATATATATATGTATATATATGTATATGTATATATATATATATATATATATATATATATATATATATATATATATATTGTTGTTTATTATTGTATCTGGTTGAGATACAAATCCTCTTGTTTTCTTGAGAGTGATCAATATAATGTAAAAATAATTTTTACAAAATAGATCAATATATATATATATAAATAAAGTGTAATAAAATAGAAAAATACAACTTTATAATGGAACTAAAAGTTTCATGCCTATCGGCAATCTTCAGCCATATATATACAGCCGTATATATATGGCTGAAGATTGCCGATAGGCATGAAACTTTTAGTTCCATTATAAAGTTGTATTTTTCTATTTTATTACACTTTATATATATATATATATATATATATATATATATATATATATATATATATATATATATATATATATGTATATATATATATATATATATATATATATATATATATATATATATATATATATATATATATATATATATATATATATATATATATGTATATATATATCAATTAGGTTAATTATAAAAAAATAATAAATTCTGTTGTTTTTTTTCATAAATTAATAAATTTTTTATAAATTTATAAATAAATTCTGTTGTTTTTTTTTCATACATTTATATTTTGATGACATAAAAAAAGTTAAAACTAATTTGAAATATATTCTCCGTTATTTTATATGACTTGCTGCCATCTTTTTTTTTTAGCATATGCTCTTCTCATAAAATTTAACCAGTTTTGACTGAAAAAGTTTAAGGACAGCCTCAATTTCCCCCTGTTTTTAAAATGTTTTTATAATCATAAAATTATGTAAAGAACAGAAAAGGTTGTAATTAGTTGAAGCAAGGTCTGAAGAGTATGAAGGATATTGCAAAACAGACCAGCCAAGTTAAAAAAACTTTTTTTCGAGTCACCCTTTCTGTATGTGGTTTTGAATTCTCATGCAACAGAATGACGTTCTTATGGTTGACAAATGCTGGGCACTTTTCCAACAGTTTTTCTAGGACTTTGAAGCTGCTGAGCATACATGTCTCCAGTCACTGTTTCATTCCTATTTGATAGTTCAGAATTAACCCTTGTCAATCACACCATACACACAACAAAATTTTCTTGTCGTAGATGTTTACTTTAGGATCTGGAAGAGAAAGTTGATCTTTATCCAGCCACTGTCTTTTGCGAACAATGTTCTCATATATTACTCATATGTTATCCATTTTTCATCACTAATAATAATCTTTTTGTAAATTCATTTATTTCACATGAGAGCAGATTTATAGCATTTAACATCCTACCTGCCTTGTTGTTTTCACTTAAATTATGGAGTACCCATACTCCTAATTTGTTTACTTTCCCCAAACTTTTCAAACAGCGAAAAACAGTTGATTGGGATGCATTGAGCTTCTCTGCTTTATATACAATATTTTGAAGTCCATTTTGAAACAAAATCCATGCTAATTAACTAGAGAGTTGATTAGCGTAGATTTTCTTCCAAAACTGACTTCAAAATATTCTCAACAAAGTAAGAGGGACAACCCATCCATGGCTCGCTTTTCAGGGTTGTGACTCTATAATAGAATTTGACAAACTATTTTTTTACTACCTGATCAGTTATCACCCTTTCCCCATAAACACTGCACATTTTTTGAGCCATAGGTGAAGCACTATTGTCTTGTCTAAATTCCCAAAGCATCACATGTCAAACTGTATTTTTTGGTTATTCATTATGAAACAAACAATTTATCCAAATTATTATCATTTATGAAACAAACGATTTATCCATATATATATATATGTATATATATATATATATATATATATATATATATATATATATATATATATATATATATATATATATATATATATATATATAGCCAAGATGGGTACATGTTTCTTTGAAATACTTTAAAGAGATCATTTACGTCAGAGTGAAACCCTACTATTAATTTTAAACGTTCTATCGATTAAGCGTTTGATTAGACTAACTCTGCATGAAAATAGAGTGAGATATGAAAATTAGTGTGAAGGCCAGAATAGGTTTTTAATCAAAAACGATAATTGAAGAATTAGTTTTATGTAGAGTCTGAAAAAGATATTTTTGAGTTTACTTCTTTTTTCGTAGTAAAAGAAATAGAATTGTATCTACTTTTTATATATCTAAAATAAAACTAAGAAAAAGATGTGCATCATTTATAGTTATAGGGGTCAGAATGTTCTCTAGAGTTTTTGAATAATGGAACCATGCTATTTTCTAGCTGGCTTGCTCTAGTATTATTTGTTAATAAACTACTTTTTAGAAAATATTTTAAAATAATAAAAACATACATTTGTTCACAATTGAAATAAACCAAATTATATGGCATTTTAATTGTTCACATCAAACATGACATGTTATATAAAAATTGAGTTTAAAAACATAATATAAATTTGTAAATCAAAAATTAGGAAAAAAAAAACTTAAAATAACTTGAAAAATAAGTTAATTATATATATATATAAATTAAATTTATAATAACATAACAATATCAACATTATTCTCATGTGTAGCACTACTTAAAAATACTGTACTAATGGTTTTTATTTAACTTAAATTAACATTTATTTCAATATAAAATAATAAAAATTTATAATTAAAAAAAAATGTCAAGGTAATTTTTGTGTAGTTGAGTTTTTGTATTAATAAATGTGTTTTATCACAGTATATCAAAATTTCACAATATATTAAAAACTTTCCAAACACACACAAAACTATCACAGTCAAAATATCTGCTAGATAATCAAAGTGATAAGTTGAGATTATTTCAACACAGATTAAGCATTTTATTCAAAAAATAAGTTTATAATACATAAATTGGTTTCTTCTAAAAAACATTCCCCAAACATATTTAAAGTTTGGTTTTAAACCACTAGAGCTCTATTTTGACAAAACATATCATTTGATATCATACCTTATCAACATACCTTAAAAACTAGCAACTTTAAAAACTAATCACAAAGTGATTAGTTTTTAAAGTTGCTAGTTTTTAAGGTATGTTGTTCAATATGTCAATCAGTAAGTAGCATTATTTGTAAACTACAATCCATAAGCTCTTTATTTCATTAAAAAAAAGTATTGAAAACACAAGTTAATACTAAAAATAATGTAATTGTTTTCTATTAGCAAGTATGGGTTGATACAGCATCTGAGGGAGGGGGCCTAAAAATAATTGTATTCCATTGAAGATATTGTAGAATAGTACTCTATTATGTCATAAACAATTCTAAAATAATTTCTTATAATATTTACAGTCAATTTTTAAGAGATTTATGTAAATATAATACTATATATAAATATAGTAACATGGTGCCCCACTCTCCCCTATTTTGTTAACTGCTAAGTAAAGATCAGAGTCAAATAAAAAAAACATAGACATTGGCTGACCTAAGTATGCTTAAATAGATGCACTTGCATCTACTGATAATTTGGAATGGGTGTTAGTTTACAACAAGTTTTGATTAAGTTTACAATTTTCTGCAGTAGTGGTTAAGCGCTTCATAATTTACTAATAAACTTCATATGCAAGAAGTTTTGAGTTTGATTCTTACCACGTTTCTAGTAGTACCGCATTCAACTTATTTCTCTGCATAGCAGCCTTGTTTGTCAAGGTTCATGTTTTGAAGTTAAAGAGTTAAGGGAGGGTTGTAACCACAAAAAGTAGCTTCAACTGTAATGGCCTTCTTGGCCTTAGGGAGGTGAATAACTTTAAAAAACAAATATAATTAAAAGAATTTGAAAAAAAACTTTCTCTTTGAACTTTTTTTACTATCTGTTGTTTAATTACTTTGTCCAACTCTGTATTGGTACTTTATATTTTTATTTTTGCGTTGACATTTTATTTTTATACATGCACAAATAAAACATCAATGTATAAAAATTATTTTTTATTTTTGGTAGCATATTCTGACCGCATTCCAGAAATTTTCCCGCAACCTGAAAACAATACATTGGCTATAGAATCCAATGGCAACAAAAATATAACATGCAAAACAATTGGTGCTGCTGGATTAGATGCATCATATTTAACATGGTATAAAATAGTTGATAATGTTCCTGTTCCTGTTGACAAATCTCAAGTTGTTCGTCAAGAAGATTCTATTCAATCTCAAGTTATTGATATTGAGATTTTGATGTTTAAAAATTATCAAGCCTCTGATGGAGGAAAATTTGTCTGTGAGAGAAAAGTCCGCGACAAAAAAGCTACGTCAACTTTTATTAACATTGTTCTGGAACGTAAGTTGCTTTTAATAATTTTTCTTTGTTTTTTAATATGCACTGATTGATTCATAGTTTTTCACTGATTGATTTATAGTTTCACTGATTGATTCATAGTTTCACTGTTTTTAATTAAAATTTTATATTATGGATTATATAGATTTTCATAAAACCTATTAAAAATGAGAAAAAAATAAGTGGCAGTATTATTAAGACGTCCATCATTATTAGAGATGAAGCTTACTTATGTTAATCGTCTTTATTAAAGTTATTTTCTTATGCTTTTAACTTAAAAGTAGTAATTTTTACGCAAGTATATTAGTTTATTGAAATTTGAATATATATATATATATATATATATATATATATATATATATATATATATATATATATATATATATATATATATATATATATATATATATATATATATATATATATATATTAGGGTGATCCTGCCGCCCTCATGTTCTCTGATTGAGCCTGACTTTTTTTTGTGGGTGAGGTTCATTATAAATAGTAAAAATCTGAAATTTTAAGAAAAATGGACAACGTTTAGCAACGGTAGCAGATTTCAATTGAAATTTCAAGATTCTCAAAATTTTTCAAAATTTTATTGATAATCAGGAGGAAAAACTTAAAATTATCAGCATTAAACTACTGGAATGTTAATAGGAGTATTATATTAATAAATGTACCTTATTATTACAAAAAATCTTAAAATATATTTAATTTAATAAAAAATGCACTTCAACAGTTTTATCCAAAATTTTATTTGATTTTTCATTTGTGTTGTTGTTTGTTGTTATTTTACAGATACATTAATAAATTATTTTAATCTTTTTTTAGATAAAAATAAAAGTATTGACAAATTAGGTGGGTAAAAATGGCTAAATTTGAAGACCCAAGATATTTTATACTTGAAACCATCCCTATTGAATCTGATAAGAATATACAAGGATCTAGGCTACCAACTGTTCATCAGGTGCTTTTATGTTTTCTTGCACACTTCACCACAAAATCTAAAAGAGGTGCTGCAAATGAAACAGTTAAATCAGTTCTACTATTTTATAATTGGGGCAAAAATAAAAAACATTAAGTCAAATAAAATGGCAGAAAAAATCATGACATTATTTGAGGAGTTGAAAAGTCTGTAAACTAATTATGCCCATAGAAACACTGACAAGAATACCCAAAGAATTATTGGATTTAAAGACAAGCTAACAAAAACAATAAGGTTCTGGTCACGAGATGTGCTAGATAAATTGGTTAATGCAGAAGATTAACATTTTCTGATCAGCATGATGACTGATAGGAAAGCATCCATGAGCTGAGTTGATCTTAAACTTAGCCTTGTTGAAAAAAAAAATGACAGAAAGTTTGCTGAATAAGAAAGAATCTATAAAGAAATAGAAAGACAATCAAATATCTTGAGATATTCTAAGAACAATTTAATGGAGATAGACAAAGGTTGTCTTGATCATGAACATGGATGTGTTTATGAAACTAAGCAGCGTTCTCACAAAAGAAGCGTCAAAACTGGCACAACTGTGTTTATACCACATAATAATCTGAAATCACCTAAAGTTATTAAAACAGCTGTTAGGAACAAGATTACACCTATTGCACTCAGTTCTTTATTCAACTCAATAATTTGTGCCACCTCTGGCAATTCTTCTAAAGTTGACTTGAGCTACACAACAGCATACAAGTATATATATATATATATATATATATATATATATAATATATATATATATATATATATATATATATATATATATATATATATATATATATATATATATATATATATATATATATATATATATATATGTGTATATATATATATATATATATATATATATTATTATTATTATTATTATTATTGTTATTATATATATATATTATTATTGTTATATATTATTATTATTATTATTATTAATTATAATAGAAATAGATTAAAGTAGAAATTTCTTGTTTTGTTTGAAATATTACTTTCTATTGTAATAAAAATATTTTACTTTAGATACTTTTAATTTTTGGTTAATTTTACTTTGGATGGATCTAAAAGTATAATTCAATCATCAATATTTTTACTTTTGCATTTTTTACATTAAACCTATTATAAACAAAATGGAGTGTGCGCAGACAACTGCTACCAAGATAAAGAGCTCCTGGAAATTTCCAAAAGTTGGCGTAGTGGGATAATAAGATAATGGATTCACTTGACAACAAAAATGTTAGGGAAGAAAGGCTTTCTATTCTTCTTTCAGGCAGCTTTAAAATAAAACTTGGGCAAGCTAATTCATGTAATATTAGGAACTAATGAACAATTTACATATTAGTTAATAGACTTGTTACTAAGTCAGTTAAAATTGGTTCTATTTCATAAATATATATTTTTAAGTTGTTCAGGTGTAGAATTACTGGGTATACCAGCACTGCTATATAAGTCCACAGAGAAGATGGATCCAGTGATTGCTAAGGCAACATATGAATTACTAAAAAATTGGAACTGCACAGATTGTGTAGCTGGCATGGCTTTTGACACAATAGCATCAAATACTCGGGATATAACAGCAAGCTGTGTTTCAATGCCGACATCACATAGGAGAGATTATACTAACTCATGTAGGGAACAGTTTGGAGATAGAGGTTTCAAAAGGTCCTAATATCAGTCTATTTTTAAGGTAATCATATTTATTCAAATGTTTTATTATTATTTATCATTTTAAATTAAAATAACATCAGTATTATAAGCAACAAAATAATGACATTGTTTGGTTTTTGAATTGCCAAATCTGGATGGATTTTGAATTGCAAAATCTGAATTGCCAAACTATTGAAGACATTGACATCCCTCAAATTTCATAGTCTTTGATTAACAAAAAAGATACCATTACCAATCTTTGCCAAGAAGCAATGAGGCAAAACTTCAACAGAGATGATAATAGAGAACTTGTTCAACTAACATTGTTTTATCTAAGCAATGGGCAAAATGTGGTATTCTCTGGGTTTAATAGGCCAGGCGCTTAACACAATGCAAGGTGGATGGCAAAATTGTTATATTCTATAAAACTTGCACTGTTGAACAAAAAAATCAGCCAGCTCCCTAAAGGAACAATTTTTGCTCTGCAACAATTCCCTAAGCTACAAAGGATTATTCAGTTTGTTGTATTTTGTTATATTCCATGGTGACTTAGTGCACCTATATCTTCAGCAGCTCCTACTAACGATATAAATCTTATTAATTTGTTATCAGAGTATAAAGTTATTGATTTATCTATTGCTAATGCTGCTCTGAAAGCTTTCACATGTGGTATCTCACTGAGGAGTTAGCTCCACTGTCTCTATTTAATAATAACCTAGAGGACAAGCAGAAACAAAAGATTGCAAATAAAATACTATCACTAAAAAATTATAAGACATAGAATGAAATAACATGTGAATAAGCAGAATATCAGATTCTGGGGCACCGAAAATCCACACCAAGTTCATGCGAGTCTATTACACCCAGTTAAAGTAACAACCTGGTGTGAAGTAACATCAGAAAGGGTTATTGGGCCCTTCTTCTTTGAAAATGTAAATGAAAATGCTGTGACTGTAACTGCTGAGAAATATCAAGACATGCTAGCGAATTTTGATCAACCTCAGTTAGCAAACATAGCATGGTATTGGTGGCAACAAGATGGAGCAACTGCACATACCGCTAGAGCCACAATGCAGCTGTTAACTGCAATGTTTCAGGATCAGATAATCTCTCTTAAATCCGATTTTTAATGACCTCCACGTTCTCCTGATTTGACAGCACCAGACTTTTGGCTTTAGGGATATCTTAAAGACAAAGTGTATGCAAATAAGCCCCAAACTATTCAAGATCTTAAGGCAAACATACGACAGGAAATTCTTTCCCTACAACCTCAGAATTTAAGAAGTGTCATGGAAAATAGCTTAAAAAGAGCTCGACTTTGTGAAGACAAGAATGGAGGCTATTTAAGAGACATTATCTTTCGTAACTAAGTCAGAACTAACGTACAGACTCGTACGTTAGTTCTGACTTAGTAACTAAGTCAGAACTAACGTACAGAAAAAGTTATTTAATTTTGAAAATGTAAAGTGACTTATGGGCCACCCTGTAGTTTATGTGTTGTAAACGATTCTGCTGAACGTGGAGTAAATCTTTGTAGTGACTTTGCGGGAACTGCTAAGAAAGTAAATAAGTGTTAAAACATTATGCAAGTTGTAGAAAACAACAGAAATATGTTGCCCAACAATAGAAAAAGGCACTTAGAACCAATCAGATGATACATAAAATTCTGAT